TTTTTTTTTTTTTTTTTTTTTTTTTTTTTTTTTTTTTTTTTTTTTTTTTCCTTTGACAATTGGTCCATTTTTGTACGCGTCATGCTTGAAAGCTCAGTGGCCATGCTAATCTTCTTTCCCTGTATCGTTCCAGTTTTAACGGTTGTGCCGAAGGACGCGTGCTGACTGGCATGTCCGCTTATGAATACACGACGGATATAGTAGTAGTAATAGAATTTGATAACTTGACATCCATAACGGCCCAAAACCAAAATACTCGCACGGAGATCGACAGCATACTGATCAAATCAGAGAGATGGCCGACAAGTCAGAGAGACGACCGAGAAAAGAAAAGGCACACCCGATACTTGTTCAAAACTTGCGGCGAAGTAAATTTAGTGATGAATCACGTGAGTCCTACTCGGGAACTGGCGAGTGATCGATTCTACGTCGTATGCGTGGCTGAGTAGCCATTTCCTGCCTCACGGCCCTCACAGGGGTCCTGATGAGTCCTCGTAGGACCGAAAACAAGAGGGAAGAGTCGTGACTGCTTGTGTCATTTCCAAGGCTCGAAAATCACAAGGCGGGAAACCAGCAACGGGATCATTACCGTCTTGCCTCGTACACAACGCAACGCGCCCGTGTAATGAACGCATACAGGTTTGTTTTCCGGTACGGCACTGTCCTCATGAGTCGCCATTACGTGTGAGGGATCGATCGTGCGTCGTCTGCGTGGCTGGCTCGTCATAAGCAGAAGATCCTATTAGAGAACTTGTGAGGGATCGATCGTGCGTCGTCTGTGTGGCTGGCTCGTCATAAGCAGAGGATCCTATTAGAGAACTTGTGAGGGAACGATCGTGCGTCGTCTGCGTGGCTGGCTCGCCATTACGTGCCGCACGGCCCTCACAGGGGTCCTGACGAGTCCTCGTAGGACCGAAAACAAGGGGGAACTGTAGTGACTGCTTGTGTTTCCAAGGCTCGAAAATTACAAGGCGGGAAACCAGCAACGCGATCATTACCGTCTTGCCTCGTACACAACGCAACGCGCCCGTGTAATGAACGCATAGTACAGGTTTGTTTGGAATAATTGGTAGAAAGTGCCCACGCCAAAACCTTTCAAACGGCCCAGTTTCGGGCGCCCAAAACCGAGAAGGTTTTGGCGTGAGCGCTTTCTACCGATTATCTCGGTTCGTTTTCTGTTCTGGCACTGTCCTGATGATGTACATCGAGCGTCTGTCAGAATGGTACACAGGTGAGATAAATGATCGCCCAGATGAGGGTAGCCGAACCGAGACGAACATACTGCAATCGTCATGGAAACACCCTTTAACTAAAATTTCCTTTGAAATCGACTACAGTCTTCCCCCGAATACAACGCACGGTCATTATAGCTGAATTTGGTGGATCTTTCAGTCTAAATTCAGCTATAATGACCGTACGTTGTATTCGGGGGAAGACTGTAGGCCACTAGAATCTACCCCGCTCTTTAGGCGATCGCACTCCGTGAACAGAAGGTATCGCACACATCAGGAAAGTAAAACAGATAATGAAAACGTATGCAAATAAATAAGCAAATCAAATGCAGAACACTAGGCGGAGTCGGGCGAGCAGTAAGGTCACGCTGAGGAGTTGGGAATTGCACTCTTGTCAGCCACCTTACAGGGCCCCGCAGAGGCCCTGAAACAGGCCTGGCAGATCAAGATAAGCACGCAGTGCAGGGTCTGCTTCAGCTCCGTGTCAGACTGAATTTTAAAGGTTCGCTGACCTTTACCTGCACCACAGGGCAGTAGGCGCGCCGGCAGTGGGCGCCAGCGCGGGGCCCTCTCTCTCTCTCTCTCTCTCTCTCTCTCTCTCTCTCTCTCTCTCTCTCTCTCTCTCTCTCTCTGTGTGTCTGTGTGTGCGTGTGTCTCTATTTGCACAGTGGTCCCGTTACATTCGAAATTCAGAGTCAGAGTGCAAATTTCGAATGTATCGGGACCATAACCTCGGCCACATGCATTTGAGCGACTACTGTATAAATTCACTCACGCACACAGAGAGAGAGAGAGAGAGAGAGAGAGAGAGAGAGAGAGAGAGAGAGAGCGCTCTGCAGCGGGAGCGTGCAGGAACGAGATGCAGCAGGGGGAAGCAACGGGCCGGCAACGCGCAGGCACTGTATCTCTCTCTCTCTCTCTGTTCTTACAGTGGTCTCTGGCCGTGCAGGTAGTGGTCCCTATACATTCGAATTTCTTTGTCACACTCTGAATTTCGAATGTATCGGGACCATTACCTGCGGCACATCCATTAGAGAGACTACTGTAAAAAGAGGGACACGTTTGTTTGTTTGTTTGTTTTTGTTTTTTTTTTGTTGTTTGTGTGTGTGTGTGTGTGTGTGTGTGTGTGTGTG